CCGATGGCGCTATCTGCTGAAAGGGCATCAGTACCTTATCCACGGGAAGAAAAATAGTTACAATTCCTAGTTAATTGCTTCCATTTGGCCTAGCGCTTTTTATTTGTAAGGATCTCAAAGGATTTCACAGAAGAGGAGGAGACCTACGTCACCCAATCAAGTACAGCCCCCATCTGAGTGACATACTGTACGATGGCACCTCCAGTACCCAGCAGGCCAAGTGCAGGAGGGAGACCCCGCTTCAGCCTCTGAAAGAATGGGGGGTTCGATTGCGTCAGCCCAAATTAAATTTAGCTTTGGATCCGGGGGGTCACAGTTCTTGTCTTACGAAAACAGCGCCATGGGATCCATGATTATTAAGTCGTCAGGACCAGACATTTAACATCTTGTTTGAAGGAAGACGCCTTCTACAACTTACAAGATCCCAGTCACCTCATGGGACAATGCTTTGGAGATCCTGGGCTTAAGCTTAGAGCGCCACCTACTGGTCCTCTAATATCACTCACAACAGCAGCCTGATTTTCTGTGAGGGTTTCCCATGCTGGCACTGACCAGGCCTGGCCTTGGCTGATGAGATCAGTGTGCAAACAGGCGCTGCCAAAGTTGGGTCCGCAATGCAGGAATGCGTAGCTGTTTTTCCGAACTCGGTTGCTCCAATGTACTGTATGCAATAGAAGCTACGGTGGGGGTGTGATGACACATTGCTTTTAATAGCTGTAGGAGATGGCTATGTGGCATTACAGTAGAAAAATGCAATGGGAAAAATCTTGGAAAGTTATTCCAGGTGGGTTGTGGGTACCCTGACGTGAGACAAGGCAAGGTAGCCACCACCTGTCGGAAACACATGGGAAGTGGTCCCTCTAGTGGCTGCTCTGGGCATATGAGCATCTTCAATTAAAGAGGCTTCAATATTTAAAAAAAAAAAACAACAATAAAAGAAATAATGTCCTGAAAAGGTAAGCAAACGTATCTTTATTTTTCGTTTGTTATAAGATAACATTTGTGGCACTAAAATGGTCTTGCTGATGATGGCGTCAAGCCTTACAAAATTCAACTGATTTCCAGACATTTAGTCCTGTCCCTGTCATTTGTGCCCGTAGGAGTCATTCACAGATACATTTCCCTGAGTTTTTAGGGTCTAGCGTGGTGTTCCCAGCATCCTAAAATGTGGGGCTGGAGATCAAGCATGTGAGGCTTCTGGACCTGGCGGCTTCTCCTGCTTCCTCTGCCTCTTAAGGGAGCTTGGCGTAACTTCGGCTCTCAGGGGGGGTGGGGGGTCATGGGACCTCTTTCCCTCGCCTTCGGACAGGATCAGCTCGGGCGGGGCCCTGCGGAACCACTCGCCCCAGGACCCGTCGTACACCGCCACGTTGGCCCTGCCACAGAGGGCGGCGGCCAGCACC